GTACCAGAATGTCTGATTTCTTAAGAGAAGCTGGAAATTTGGGGTGTTATGCAAATCTCCTGATTTTTTTGTTTGTTTGTTTTATTTTTTGACATCTAAATTCAAGTAAATTTAAACAAGATTGTGGGCCAAACAAAAATCTCTGAAAGGGACATTCTGCCTGAAGGTGGCCAATCAGCTAGGAGTGCTAGAGCACCCAGTAACTTGGGGAGCCTGGCTGGAGATGAAGCTGGGAAGAGTCTGGGGAATCTGTCGTGATGAGGCAAGCCTGCAGGCAAAGGAGTTGGGATTTCCTTTTATGGCACTTGAGGGGAGGTTGTCACTGAAGAAACTGAAGCGAGGGAGTGACATGATCAGATTTGCACATTGGGAAGATCTGTCTCCTGGAGGGTGATCTTCAGGGCTAGTTTGAAGACTGTTGTTATAAACAGTCTAAGGGAAAGGCAAGAAGGACCTGAAATAGAACAGTGGAGGCAAGGAGGGGGGAGAATAGACCTGAGAGATGTTTTACAATATAATAAGTGACGGCGTGGCTTGAAGGTGGGGTCAGGGGCACTAGATACAGGAAAGGAAGGTGTCAAGGATACTCCCTTTTAGCATTAATTTCTCTTTTTTGTGGACACAGGGGCAATGAAGAAGCCCTGGTGGCGCAGTGGTTAAGTGTTTGACTGCTAACCCAAAGGTCGGTGGTTCGAACTCACCAGCCACTCCATGGGAGAAAGATGTGGCAGCCTGCTTCTGTGAACATTATAGCCTTGGAAACCCTATGAGGCAGTTCTACTCTGTCCTATAGGGTCATTATGAGTCGGAATCAACTTGTTGACTATGGGTTTGGGTTTGGTTTACCGGGGCAATGGGTGGGAGAAAAATACAAAAGATTCTTTGTTAAGAGTACTCTAGCTTAAGATTTCTCAGTTTTGGTACTATTGTCATTTTGCCCAGATGAGTCTTTGTTGTGGGAGACTGTCCTGTGCATTGTAGGATGTTTAGCAGCACCCTTGGTTTCTACCCACTAGATGCCAGTAACATGCTCTCCCCCGCCCCCCAAGTTGTGACAACCAAAACTATCTTCAGACATTGCCAAATATCATCTGGGAGGCAAAATCGCCCCTGGTTGAGAATGACTGCCCTAGAGTCAGAAGGAGGGAAATTCCCTGTTTGCTACTTCTCCATTTTCTTTGTATTGTATGACAGTTTTTGCTTAATAAAAGGTGACCAAAAACCAAAAACCAAACCCACTGCCTTCGAGTCGATTCTGACTCATAGCCACCCTATAGGACAGGGTAGAACTGTCCCATAGGATTTCCAAGGCTATAAATCTTTACAGAAGCAGACTGCCGCATCTTTCTCCTGTGAAACAGCTGGTGGGTTTGAACCGCCAATCTTTCAGTTAGCAGCCAAGCTCTTAACCACTGCACCACCAGGGCTCCTTCTAATAAAAGATAGAGAACCCTTTATGAGATTTTTACCTAAGGGACCAGAATTTTTTTAGCTATATGCTGTTGTTTGTGTTCTTTATAAACTCAGAAGGGTGTCTCTAACTGGATTGAAGGAGATGTGACTTTCGAAAGGACATCATTCTTTCATCCCAGATATTTTCCTGTATATGCCCTTTCCTACCTGCACTTACAGAAAAGGAGAAAGCATTAGTGAGAAGGGTAAAGATTGAACAAGCCAACTGGAGTGGCTGAGCAACACAGGTCAGGGCAGGACTCCAGCCACCCCAGGCCAAAACGAAAGAGAGAAAGGCGACTGATAGTCTCACACCCAAGTCATCAGGGCTCATTGGATTAAGGGTTAAAGCTAACTTGATGTTGACTCATCATGATTGTGATTACATAAAGCCAAAATGAGAGCTCCTTGTTTATTGCAGTTTCTGGAAAGTCTTCCATTTGTCTTCATCTTCCTGCAGACCAAGGCAGTGGTCTAATTCAATCCAAGATACTCTTTGGATAAATTACACAGAGATTACAAATAAAAGTTTTGTGTTAAAAGAACAGCATTCCCGACCCTCTCTACCCCTTCTGAAAAAAATTTTTTTTAATTGTTGCTTTATGTTTAGTGTCTGGAGGAAGGGGAACTGATTATAACAGTCTTTTTCATGGATAGCAGGCCAGAACTATCATGGTGAAAGGAAATCATGTCCCTCTTCTCCCTACCCTCCCAGCTCCCATCCCTCCACACCCCTACTCCCACCCCGACACCCTTTGTTTTTTCCTCACAATGTTCAAATTCCCAAGGCTTTTTCTGGAGGCTAATGGCAAGTTGTAACCCTTATTTTTCTAATCATTGCTGCCATTACTGTTCATTTCATTAGGCGGTCACTTCAATCTATGTCAGGCAGTGCCTAAGATGGCACTCAACCAGCACCCAGGGGCTCCTGTTCCAGCTGAAGACTCCTTAAAAGGCAGCTGACATAAATACTTGGGGAATGTTATTATAAACTTATAGTATAATGTTTATAGCAAATGTCAACAAGTGTATATGTATGTGGTGATGGAGCAGGGGAGGCCTTAGAGAGTGGCTGGCCTGTTTGCTGAGGGATTTAGAAAGAATGGTAATATCTCTCAGTTCTACAGGCTTTGACAGTTTAAAAAATGTTTTCATGAACATTACTTTGTTCCATAAAACATACATGCAAGGATTTATTCTGAAACTTTAATCCCAACAATCAATATCTTAAGATTCAGCTCAGGAAAGCCCTCTTCCTGGAAGCCTTCCTTCTCCTTTCCGTCCATAAGGTGCCCCTCCTTTGTATCCCACAATTCCTTGTTCTTGCCCTTATGATAGCCCCTCACACTGGTTGCAGCTCTTTGTTGGCAGGGCCTGCTCTTAATGAGTGTCTAGCATATTTCCTGGAAGAACTTAATAAATATTTATTGAACTTGAAGGCCTTAATTTCAAGAGTAGGGCCTTTGTTTCAGATAGGTTAAACACCCCCATGCCCTTTGGGTAGGGTCTAGACTAGGCATATCATCAGCATTTTTATTGCCATATTTTTTGCAACTGATTTCAGGTTATACATTGGCTTAATTCAACCAAAATACACCAGTTAGTGGCAGGGTCTCATTATCTATCCAGACTCTTTTTTTAGGGAGGAAGTGGCAGCAGAATAATGATCCCCCAACAATGTCCACACCCTCACCATTGAAATCTGTGAATATGTTACCTTACATGGTAAAAGTGACTTTGCAGATGTGACTAAATCAAGGACTTTGGAGATGCAGAGATTATCCTGGATTATCGGGTAGGCCCAACCTAATCGCAAGGGTCCTTATAAGGGGAACTGGGAGGCAGGAGGATCAGGCTCAGAGAAGGAAATGTGACAAAGGAAGCAGAGGTCTGAGTGACACGGCCATAAGCCAAAGCATGCAGAAGCTGGGAAAAGCAAGGAAACAGATTCTCTTCCAGAATCTCCAGAAGGAACTCAGCCCTTTAGACACTGATGTTAGCCGAATGAAAACCATTTCAGACCACTGACCTCCAGGACTGTAAAATAATAAATCTGTGTTGTCTTACACCACTAAAGGTGTGTAACTTGTCACAGCAGCAATAGGAAACTAATATGGAGCTCCTGTTTTCCTCCATCCCCAGCATCACTGACCCTCCTACCAAAAAAAAAAAAAAAAAACCCAAATACATTGCCATGGAATCAATTCCAACTCATAGTGACTCTAAAGGAGAGAGTAGAACTGCCCCGTAGGGTTTCCAAGACTGTACTCTTTAGGGAAGCAGATTGCCACACAGCAGCATCACTAGGGTTGGTGTCACCCAGTGTGGTAACTCGTGGTGTCACCCCCACCCCCATGCTAATTATCACAATATGGTAGCTAAAACAAGAGAAAATTAGACAAAATCATTGACTATAAAAACACCAGCACCAACTGAAAACAACAGCGCACTCACAGATGAAAGTACATGATTCCAAGTGTCATCGTAATTGGGTAATAATGACAGCTCTGACCTGAGTGCATTGTTGTTGTGTGCCATCGAGCCGATTCCGACTCATAGCGACCCTATAGGGCATAGGGTTTCCAAGGCCCAGCTGGTGGATTCGAACTGCCGACTTTTTGGTTAGCAGCGGAACTCTTGACCACTGTGCTAACGGGGTTTCCCTTAGAAGGTTCAAACACTAAATTAGCATAGAGTTAGGTATGTTGATACATATAAGCTGGGCTTACAAAAATGTTTTTGTTGTTATAACTAACTACAGGGATACTTTTATAAAAAAATAATAAATTTCTGCTACTGCACCAAAATTTTATAGACAGTAATTTTGGTGTCAGCCCCTGTGACGGTGTCATCTGGTGAGGTCCACACCCTAGTGATGCCACTGCTGCCACATCTTTCTCCCCTTCCCTTTCAGTTAACTGCCCAATGCGCTTAACCACTGCGCTGCAATGGCTCCTTCAGTGTCCCTCGTAGGCAACCACTTTCATGAATTCAGTGTGTATCCTTTCCGCTCACCTTCCCTCCTCTCACTATACTTCCGCAAAGAAGAAACATATATAAAGTTGGTTTTCTGCTTTTAAAAATGCACATACACGGTATGGTCCTGTCCCTCATATTTGGAAATTGCTTTTTGTTCACCGGCTCAACACATGTATTACCAGCTTTCAGATATGCCATGTTCATCCTCACTTCACCAAACTCGGCCCTGCCAAGTCCCCTGTGAGGTAGGGCTGGTAGTATTAACGCCGGAAACTAGGGCTCAGAGGCCAAGCGCTAGAAGCCACGTCTCCAGACTCTTCGGCCAAGGCTCTTTCCTTGTAGATGGCCCAGCCCTTGGCACCTCCGAGGCCCCACAAGTCTGCACGCAGCGGCGTCGCCTGCGCGCTGACTCCACCGCGCGGAGGGCGGGGACCCAGACAGGCGCCCGGCTGGGCCGCGACGTGGTCGAGGAAGGGCCGTTCGGTCGAAGGCCTGACCGCGGAGAGCTGGGGGCGGCCCGGGGCGGCGGGGTGGCGAGGCCAGGTGTCGTCCGGGAGCCCAGCGCCCCGCCCCCGGGCCGCCAGCGCGCGCCAGCCAGGTTACCTGCGGCCAGTGGGCGGGGCGGCTTCCCTTCTGCGCCGGCCCCCAGCCTCCCGGGCGGTGGCGCCGGGAAGTGGGAGCGGGAGCCAAGGAGGCGGGGACTGCCGGCGGAGGCTCCAGCCCGGCCCGGGCTCTGAGGCGAAGGGCGCATGGAGTGGCCAGCGTGGCTCTGCGGCCTGTGGGCGCTGCTGCTATGCGCCGGCGGCGGCGGCGGCGGGGGCGCGGCGC